CCACCATCATCATCACCGCTATGCCGACCAACTCTTACGCATACTCAATGCTCTATCTACCCTTCGCATCCTTGCGCGCGTACTTACGCACTTTCTCCCCCACCCTTTTTCGCCCTGTCGCTTTCCGCTATCTCTATCATCGTCGCTGCCGTACTACTCGATAGCATCAGAAGATTCTTCATCTCAGTATATCTAGCTGACTTGAGAGAGAGAGAGAGAGAGAGAGTAAGTGAGTGAGGGAGGGAGAAAGGGAGGGAGAGAGAGGGAGAGAGAGAGAGAGAAGAAGCGACAAGAGTGAGAGAGAAGTCGAAAGAATCCCGCTGACTTTGTAAATCCATGCGCGAGGAGAGCCGAAACTCGAGACTTTCAGGTAAGAAAGGCTGACCTATAGCTGTGTCTCGGCTGCATCTATCTCCCGTGTCTTTGGAATTCATGAAAAGGTACGGTCATACCTTAAGACGAGAGCGAGAAGAAGACAGACTTCGAAGTTTCTCTTTCTGCTTATGGGTATTTTTCTCTCGAGTCTTCCTGAGACGAGAGGGAATTTTTTTTTTTCTGTCTCCCTCTTTCTGACTTCCCGCCACTCTACCCGCTCCCTCCCTCGTCAAAGTTCTCTCTCTCTCTCTCTCTCTCTCTCTCTCTCTCTCACTCTCACTCACACTCGCACTCGCACTCACACTCATACGGACACACAGATGTACGCAGAGGCGCTCACTGATAACCGAGTTATTAAATGTGACTGCCACGTCACCGATTTTAATTTCGGTTGCTGTGATTTTCGAGAGGCTCGGCGGTTTTCCAGCATCACGCGAACCAGGAGGGATCCAGGTCGCGATGCTAAACGCGGGAACCGGCACTTACCATTACCATCTCTTCGGCTCGGTCCATCGCCGCACTTGCATTAATGAGGCTAATGACCGTTAATAAAAACGGGCTGGGGGGACTGACAGGAGGAGCTCCCGCGAATTCGTCCACCGTCCACCACAGTCCCATATAGCCACTCTTAGGGAATGGACGCGCACGCGGAGATGCGAGCACAACAAGAGGTGGATTCATAACGGGACGCCGCGGGATTCTGCGCGTCGACCTACTGGCACTTCGAAGAGCCGGATCCCGCGAGACGTCACCGCGATACACCATACGTACACTCACGCATGTGCTATGTAAGCCGGACTCGGGCCGTCTCCCCGTCTCCCCACTCCCCTTCGCGCCCTACGCTCCTTTTTCTCGATCGGGAACGCGCGCGCGGCACATGCGCGCGGCGTGCAACTCGATTTGGCTGTTTGTTTGTTTTAATTATGCGCCGCGCGGAGGGGCTGGAATGCCAAGGGCGCAAACGGGCAGCGACGCCGCGGGGGAGGCTGTCCGACCTTACATCTACCTGCTCGTGGCAAGGGGAATCGATGCGGCACTATTATTAGAAGGGCCGGCTAGATGGGCAGACAAGGATGACGTTCTCAACGGTCTTAACGGGGATAGTAATAAGAACGGTAAGCCGGCCTCGAAGGTCGCGCTAAGCTGTTGCGAAGGAATCGATCAATTGGCCGAGGATGGGCAAGGATTGCCCGTGGGCTCGACCTCGCTCGCGCTCCTTAAGCCTTAAGATTTTGGATCATGGATCGGGGGCAGTTGGACGGCTGACAATTTCCCATCTTTCCACGTGTAGACGGAGTAGCGAGCGGCAGCCGCGATTAATTGTGTCCATTGTGTGGTGAGCGGCGGGGCGAAAAAAAAAAAACATGGCGGCCTGATCGATCGGCGCTGAGCGTGGCTTCCCGCTGTGAATTATGCGCGTCGGGGACGCTCGCGACTCTCGTTTCATTGCCGCGAAGACGTCGGACCCGTAGCTCGCGTATTTCATGCCGGGAGTTTAATGCTCCGTAGTTGGCGGTACGACGATGTGGGATCGCGGATGAAAATCGGAGGGAGCGAGAGACTTCGATGGAAACGGTCGTCACGGTAAGAGTCACCGCGTTAACGGCGGCTCGACTCGCTCTGGAAGATTAGCTCTAAGGAGATGAAACTTTGTCACCGGTTTTGTAGCGGATGGTGTGGAGGGGTACCGGTTGGAGTGGGGGTACGAGGGACAAAAGAACGAATCTTGCATTAATGGAAATAGCGTGCGTACGAGCGTTTGGTTGTGTGCTTAGTTGCACGCGGGCGCGCGCGCGCGCGCGTGTGTGTGTGTGGTGAGGGTTGCTGGTTGCGCGCGTATATTAGAATTGTTGCTGTCGCGTGTCGCGTAGTTGTTTGTGTGGGCGTGGATGATTAGTGGGGCACGCATATATCTTTCTGAAAATTTGCGCTCGAAGGGAGGAGTAACGGGTGTCGAGGGGGAGGTCGGCCAGTGAGAGTGCTCGAGCTGCTTTGGCGACAGGGGATAAGTGGTGGCGATCGAGCGGATCGGATTTTTTTTTCCTTTGCGATCGCGTGGCAAATTAATTCGAGCGAGCTCGTTACGAGCCCCGGCGACTTTCTAATGGCGCGTGTACTTTACGGGCGAAAAAGATTTGCGTGATCATAAACAAATAATCGAGCCAGCATCGGCGGCCTGTGCCATTTATCGTCGAAACGAAACATGAAAACGTAAAGTTTTATCGGAAAAATTGAAGATGATTAGCTGTCGAGCTACCGTTCTCTCCCTCCCACCCCCCCCCCA